GTCCCAGTGGGCTTCATGGGGAAGTTCTTGTCCCCAGTACTGGGTATGGATGAGGAGAAAATTCCTATAATGTATAGAGCAGTTCTACAGAATCTCCCTGAGACCCCTCTATTCTGAGATGATTGTGGTATTTCTAAGACATAACAGAATAAGATGTATTTGTAAAAGCAGCCAGGAAAAAAAGGGTCTATTTTCGATAAGAGCGCCTGTTATTTCCTGATCCTCGTTCCTGAACTCATTCCCTCCTTCAGCTTTACTTCTAATGAAGCAACATCTCTCTCTCTCTCTCTTTTTTTTTTAAAAGGAAGTAGTTGCAATCTTTTTTTCCTGCAAAGCTGAGGGTAAACTGTAAGAATATGGGGTTTAGTTATGCATCTCTGTTTCTGATAAGCTAGACCAAAGGTGGTCAGAAAAGGAGCCAGTTTCAGCAATTAGGCAGTAATCCTTCATACACTTGCATGCAAAATAAGCACATGGATGAGTAGTCTCATTAACTTGAACTTTTTATGTGCTTAAAGCTGAGCATGGGTGTGTATGCAGGACCAGGGCCTTAGGTACTATGGTGATAGGTACTGTAGAAAAGCCCAAGAGAGAACACTGAAATGCTGGTTTGCATATAAATATAACAGCTAAGAATTCTAGATCAATTCTAGCTGATTTTTGTTATATATTGTTTGAGGAATAATTTCTCTTGTATAGAATCTTTCCTTAAATTAAATTCTGTATGAAGTATAAATGAAAAATGTTGTGCTGCTTCTTCTGAAGAACAGGAACATTTGGTAAACCTTTCAAGACAGCATTATTCCATTTTTTTCTTTATAGCAGTAAAAACTCTTACTATTTAGATGTTATTGCCAGCAAAATATAGTCTCTCCCTTAGTGACATTCCTCTGAGACATGATATAATACAGTATCCCTCATGAAAGTTAAAGTTGGCAGGCTAAACAGTTCAAGACTATTCTGACATGTCAGATATCCAAAGTAAATTGAATGGGTTATTTATTTATTGTTTTCCTTTCCCAATAGTGAACGAAATGTGTAATGCTAAAGGGGAAAAAACTTTGCATGGAAATACAGGTCTTATGGCAGTGTTTTTATATAGGGTGTAAAAGTATTGTTTAAGATCCCAAATCATTAGGAGATGTGGAGATTTAAAAATTTAGTTCTCAGTCCTGCAAGATGATCCACGCTGGCTTCAGTGGGCTCTGCATGGGCCTATGGTTCTTCCCACAGGGATCAGATTGCAGGATTGGGTCGTTGTATTTTGAAACAGTCATTCATTCTGTACGTACATAGCAAGCTGAGCTCATGGTTCTGTTTTTCTTCTTACAATGGTTGATTTACATCACTAATACAAGCCAAACAGGCAGCTCTGTATTCCTTACGCTGCTTGGGAAAATAACAAAATAGAACCAACAAGACATGTGTCAGTTATCCCCTGACCTGTTGGTTATGCAAGTTCATGGGCAGACTAAAGGGAATGCACTCTGTCCTTTCTACATCCCTACCACCCCCACTTGCAGTGAGGATCCTCTTGACTGCAGAAGCCATAGTTATTTGATTTTTATGGAAACATGCTTTCAGGGAATTGTGGAGGGGAATGCCAGGGACACATAGCTGGTGCAGAGGCACAGAACCTCCACGTAGACAGCCCTGGTTTCCCAACGGAACAATCCGGGACAAATCTCCATGAGAGGAACCTTGCAGAGATTTCCTCCCCTTTAGCTCCTCCTGCAGGGAAGGAGTCCATAATTCTTATGTATCTTAAAAATAGAACTTGCTTAAAGCTAGTATTTAATTACTGGTACTACAGTGCTGCTTGCTTTGTTACAAAATAGTGTACTTGCAAGATTGACACTATTTCTACTTAGAACAGGTACAATTAATTTCTCTTTGCTATGCAGCTGGCTAAAAATGTGTCTAGATAATTGATTATTTAAAATGCAGATAAGGAAGAACTAAAGTAATATGATAATTGGTTTAAAATGCAGATGAGGAGGCAGTTCAATGGGAATGGAAGATCCTTAGTGCTTGCAGGGTCATATCAGATCAGGAACCATGAGTGTATGATAACCGAGAGGCTGGTGGAGAGGTTAGGTATTACCAGAAGTGTGAATTCATCTCCTGTTTTCACACAATACCTTAAAATAAAGGTAGGGTTTGCTGGATTCTTCTCCACATTTCATGCTGTCCACATATGTTATTTCTAGATACTTCCCAAGAGAACATGTCATTTGATGTATTAATCTTAGTTCTTTTTATATCACTGTAGTGTGTCTCCTTTGAATAACTAAATTTATCTGCAGGCTGACATCCATAGTGACTTCATAGGGTTTTCTTCTCATTACCATTTCCTGATTCTAGGAATCTCTGCCTGGGTGGATTGTGTATTTTAAAACACTTGAATTACAGATGGGCCTTGCAGTGAATTGTAAAAGTATAGTGAGACTTTGTCTTAATCAAATTCCCTTTGGTAATTCATTATCCAGATGAGCTCTTCAACCAAGATCTCTTTATCTGCAGCTCCCATGCACTCTTGGTTTTGTTAGCTGAATTGACCCACCAAGTCAGTTGTTCTCCTCTGGGACATGGATGAAGAGGAAGCCCCTGCTTTAGCTGGGTCCTGAACTGTTGCTCGCTTTGAAGACCATGACCATGATCTTGAATTGGCATTGAATTGGCCATCAGTTGTCAAGGCCTCCTGTGCTGCAGCATCATTATAGCGGTACTGGTGCATACTGGAAGCAGAAGGTCTACTTGTGAGAGATAGGTGGGCTGGTGAGGTACACCTTGGTGTGGATCCTCCTGTTCAACCCCTGCAGAACAGGGCTGTGTAAAGGCTCCCCTGTAGGTTACTTGCAGCCATTGACTGGAATAATCTCTGCAGAATAGCTCCATACCTACAACACGAATGGGGATAGGAATTGGAATGGAAGTTTTATTTTTCCGTAGGTACATATCCACTTTACTTAGCCAGATGCTGGGGTCTGGATTTGCCCCTTACTGCATACAAATAACTTTTTAAATATGCACTTTTGCTTTACATGAAGATATCAAATTAAGCAAATTATGTCCTGCTTGATGTCAAAATACAGATTGTTGGGTGTCAAATCTAGATAATGCAGAGAAGCCAGCAATATATTTTTTCTTATTAATGATGTTCAGATATTAACGTACTCACTTTTCTGAAAGTTGAGATTAACTTGATTTATTTGGTGTATACTAGCTGCCAGATGCTGGGACTGGACTATAGGGGATGGATAACTTGATGGATTGCCCTGTTCTGTTAATTGCCTTTTGAAGCACCTGGCATTGACCAATGTTGGAAGACCGGATACTGGGCTAGATGGAACATTGTTTTGACTCCATATGGCCATTTTTATGTTCTTATGTTATGTCTCAATATAATTGTAAATGGGGAATCATCGTTGAATGGGTTCGCTTCTTGTGCGTCCTGCAGGGATCTGTTCTGGTCCGATGCTATCTAACATTTTTATCAATGACCTGGAAGAAAACAAAACCACCCCAGATAAAGTTTGCAGATGACACAGAGATTGGGTAAGTGGTAAGTAATGAAGAGGACAGGTCCCTGATACAAAGCAATATGAATCGCTTGGTAGGCTGGATGAAATCAAACAATGTGTTTCAGTATGGCCAAATGTAAAGTCAGAGATGTAGGAACAAACAATCCAGACCAGCCTTACAGGATGGGGAACTCTCTCCAGGGAAGCAGACACTTGGAAAAATACTTGGGGGTTATGGTGGATAATCAGCTAAGTCTGAGCTCCCAGTGCAGTGGTGTGGCTAAAAGGGCTAATCCGCCCTCTTGGGCACTCATATTGACACTCATGGGGTTTCATCAACAGGGCTGGAACCTTTAGATCCACTGCACAGACCTCTGCCACTTGAGCGAGCACAGTAACTGATTGCAGCAGTAGATTGCCATACTTTACGTGGATGAGCATTCAAGGGGGATGAGACATACTTTGCCAGTGGGTTTCACAGATATTTGCTGATAGCAGCAGCATGGTGAGACTCAAAAATCTTGGGTTCCATTTCAGCCTCTGGAGGGGAGAGTGTGTTCTAGTAGGCACAGACTCTTTTTGCCCAGTCCCCACCAACCTGCCCTTGTCCCAGTCCCGTCTCTTTCTCACCCCTGGCTCTTCGTCCCAGTCCCAATAGCCACTCCTCAGACTACTGATTCCAGTCTCCTTGACCAGCCAGTCCTAGTCTTCCCCACCGGGCATGCTGTCTCAGTCTCAATCTCCCCACAACCAGGCCCAGTCTCTTTGCCCAGCCAGCTTTATTTTCCTCCTCCCAGCTTCTTGTCTAATCTCTCTCTCGGAGCGGTCCCAGCCCCAGCTGTGCTGGCCGGTGGGATCAGCCCCAGCCGCTTAATCGGTTAACCATTTAAACAACATATTTTTAATGGTTTAAATGGTTAACTTTTTAAATGGTATTTACATCCCTAGTGTTAAGTGCTATTATAAAGAGGGCAATGATCAGTTGTTCTGCATGTCCATTGAAGGTAGGACAAGAAGTAATGGATTTACTCTGCATCAATGGAAATTTAGGTTAGATATTAGGAAAAACTTTCTAACCATAAGGGTAGTTAAGCTCTGGAATAGGCTTTCAAGGAATGTTGTGGAATCCCCATCATTGGAGGTTTTTAAGAACAAGTTAGAAAAACACCTGTCATGTATGGTCTAGGTTTTCTTGGTCCTGCCTCCAGCACAGGAGGCTGGACTTGGTGACTTCTCGATGTTCCTTTCAGCCCTACGTTTTTATCATTCTATGTGATCCCCATTGACTTGAATGAGAGTTCCATGTGTGTACATGAGTGCAGCATTTGGTCCATAGCTTGTGAAATATTTTGGGACAATATGGAAAGAAGGATGTTGTAAACATAATACTTAACATGTATATATGGTTGGATATCTACCTTGAGCTTACTTCAGTTTTATTTTAAATTCAATTTTAATGGTCCTTTTTTTTTTTAGTTCTAAGTGTCTGAAGAAAATAAAGAAACATGGATGGCCATAAGTAGTAAGTAATTTTATATTTTTAACCTGTCGCACTAATAAAATTAGAAGACACATGCTGAAGTGTTGCTGTCTATACTTACCACACTTTTTATGTTTTGTCATCCAATCTTTGGCATAAAATCCCCAGTAAGGACAGATTGGAAAAAGAAACTGACTGCCATGTGATCAAGTAATGGAAAAAACAATATGTTAGTTATTAATCTTCTGTTTTACAAACAGAGTTGGATTTATCCACATCATTTAACTTTATGACTAAAGTAGATACTTCTTTAGTTATAATTGTTGTTAGGTTTTGTTAAATGATAGTAAAATTTAAACATATGTTCATGATGATTCACTGTATAAAAACCCAGGTTGACCGTTTACAGTACTGAATAAAGTTGTTCACAAAAACAGTGTCCTGTAGTACAGAGGCTTTTTCTATTCAGTTATCCTATCTACAGAATATACGGGCAACACTCAATTCCTCATATAAGGTACACTTTAAAAATTATGATCAAATCTCATGCATAAACAGGAGTAATTTTTTTTCTCAAAGTTCAATTTAAAAATGTAGTTTTCCCATTGTACTTAAGAAATTGATAAGGGGTTATATTCCCCTGATTTCTTCAAAATTTGGCTATTATCTAAGAATTCTTTAAATCTATCATTCTTTTTAAATCAATTTTCCTTTTTGTTATATGACATTTGTAGCCCAACTGTGCACCCATTGAATTCCCCTTGACTTCAAAGGAAGTAGGAATGTAAGCTGAAACACTGGGGCCTTGATCCTATGTTTTGATCTGCCCAGGTACTGCCTCATTGACTTTAGTGAGGCACAATAGACTGCCTGTTCTGACCACAGTGCAGGTCTGAGACTTGAGATATTGCAAAACATGAATTATAAACTTTCATTTCCCATTAAGTCCTTTTAATAAAATATATGTTTTGAAAATGTTTGTTTTCATGAGTGTGTGGGGGTGTTTAATTTAATTTTACATTTTTCCTTGAAGTGATTTTGATATTTCTATTTTGAATAATTTTAAGGGACATTGTCACTTTTGTTATAGATAAAAGCTGACTTACTTTGAGAATTAAGACCCTGGTTCTCTAAAGAGATCTGTCTGGAAAATTCTTAACTTCATGATGGGGATTCTTTGGATCCTCTTTTTAATAATAGGATTAAAACTTTAATTGATATTTGCTGCATCATAAAATATACTACACATTTCACCTGACTTAATGTGCTATCCCTTGTTAATATGTATGCAATTAGTTTACAAAGAGTTGCACATGAAATTGGATTTGGCATATTTTTGCATATACTGGGTATTTTGTGCAGCAGCAAAAAAGTAACTGAAAAACCTTATTTTTACTTTGGGATCTGCAATCAAATCTTAGAAGTCAGTGTTTAGGTTGAATAAGATGCTTGAATTTCTCTACTGTAAATATTTTTGTGAGAGACAAAAAAAGTGCTTTGTGTTATACATTTTAAAAAACAATTGAATCAAATAATATAGTTATGTCATACAATTAAATTTCCTAGTGAGTATAAACCTTATGTGGCTATGAACCATGTAGGGGCATAACTAAGCCTTCATGTTTTATTTTATTTTATTTTATTTTTGAACAAGTATTCAATCTCTTGAAATTCTTCTAGAATAATAATTTGACATAATTTTAATAGTAGCAAACCCATTTCTTTTAAACATTTGCAAAATTAATGCAGTTTTTCAGTTATTTACGGGTTAGGGATTCCATTTTCACAGAAGTTAATAATTAACTGTTCATCAGACATATCAGTGTTATATTGAGAAGCTAAATTTTCTGTGGCTTATATGGTTAAAGGAATTGTAGGAGGATGCAGATGAAATAGAAATTGCAACTTCAGTAAGTTTAGAAAAGAGAAGCAGAATCATCCCCCGATGGAAAATAATCTGGGAAAAGTGTACATGTTGCATACAATCAAGCATCATCCATTTTTCCTGCTTCTAGACTTTGTACTGTATAGAATTGGAGTGTCAGACTTTGTCTTGTGCTTGGCAAATTGAGCAGGATGGGGTACTGTTGCTTGCTTTTCTACACATTGAGTTGCAATCTGTTCACGTACAAGATTGACATTCAGGGTGAAATCCTGGACCTATTGAAGACAATGACAGTTTTCTACTGCAGCCCTTGAGTGGGGCCAGGATTTCACCTTAAATATCTCCCAATATATGAATCAAAAAACCATTACAGAACAAGTAATGTCTCAGTTTGTGTTTTTATTGATCATATCTGCGATAAATCACGCTATAATACTGAAGAATTCTTCACTACTAAATACACCTCTACCCCGATATAACACTGTCTTCGGGAGCCAAAAAATCTTACTGTGTTATAGGTGAAACCGCGTTATATTGAACTTGCTTTGATCCACTGGAGTGTGCAGCCCCGCCCCTGTGGAGCACTGCTTTACCGCGTTATATCCGAATTCGTGTTATATCGGGTCGCGTTATATCGGGGTAGAGGTATATTGATAATGGGCAACACTACCAATTTACGACATTCAAATTGGAAGTGGTTTAAATGCTTCCAAAAATAAGACTGGAAACATTCATGAATATATTGTGATGCTAGTATTTCTTTTGGCTAAAAGGAATTAGAGAATTTGCTGCATATTTGGTAGTGATGAGCATTAACAACAACTTCAGGTTTAGGATTTGACCATTGCAAAGTGCAGAAATGTCCAAGTCTAAGGTTTTTATTCATAACCACAAGTATTTGTTCATAATTAGTAGTTTTATATAGTTTCACAGATAAAGAATATATATATATCCTTTTTCCTCTTTTTCTTGATACTCCTTAAAAATCTAATAAAATGTTTGAAAGATTTTTTTTAAAAGCCTCATTCTTTTTATTTAATCAAGCATTGTAATTTTGTTTCTTAAATGTTTCAGCAGTTATTCAAGGGAATTTTATGACCAGTATGCTCAAAGCCAGGAAAAATCTGTGGTCAATAAAATGCAGCAGAAATATTGGAAAACAAAACAAACCCTTATTAAAGTCACAGGAAAGAAGGAAGATGAACATGTTGTGGCTTCAGATGCAGACCTGGATGCAAAACTAGAGGTTTGTAATGAATTTACAATAGACATTAATGACTGAAATCTCTCTGAAAATCTGATAATGGGATCAAGTCTGTGTGTTTGTATGTACATATGTATGTGTACCATACTTTGTATTTATGTGTCTAATCTCATATGCAGGTTGTGTGTGGGGCGGGGATGGGAGTACTGCACTCTTTGATATCCACTGCAGTTAAATGTGTTTTTTTGTTTTTGTTTTTGTTTTTTTAAACCAACAAACCAGCCAACCTCACCTCAGCAGTATTTTGCTTACTAAATAAGATTTTATAGTTTTTCACTATGCAAAACATCAGAGCACTGGAAAAGTGTTAAAATGTTGCTGCTGAATTAGCAGAATATTAAAAGAATATGTTTATGGAGGCCTATAAAATATCATCATTGTGGTGATTGGTGGTAAAAGTTCTCAGCAATGGAATGGGGAAGCTAAACAAATGATTTTTCACCTGCTCTCAAAATATTGGGGTGAAATCCTGGTCCCCACCGAAGGCAATGGGAATTTTTCTATTGCTTTAGTGGGACAAGGTTTTACCTTAAGGTTGCTAAAACTTGGAAAATTATTTTATACCTATTTGTTCCGCCTGTAATTTTAATTTGGATAAATTCTTTATTCAAATTGTTGTGTAGGGCTTATGCCACAGAACATCTGTAGATAGAATGATCATAGTCTGTCAAGCCTTTTGAATGCTGGTTGAAAATTGCTATGTAAATATAAGATATTCATTGGCTTTTTACATTTTTTTTTCCCCGTCAACAAGAGGACAAAAAACTTTTGTTCTTGTTCTGCCTCCTCCCCATGAAAATGAGTCATATAAGTGGACTCCTCCCATCAGCTGAGTTTGCAGCTCAGAGCTTATGACTGAAGGGGGATAAAAACCCTAAACAAAAGGCATTTGATATCTCTGCTGCGTGGACTCTGGGGATGGTGGGGGAATGTTTCTGGGCATAAACAAGAGATCCTCAGGTGCTTAGTCTGGGTTAGCCCTAAAGGACTTGTAAAGCTTGCTGCTGATAGAAGCTTCTATTTCCTTTTGAAACTTAAGATTGTAACTCATTTGTGTATCTATGTTTACCTACTTCAAGCTTGTAAATAACTCTCTCGTTTCCTTTTCCAGTTTAATAACTCTTTATATAGTGTATTATTGGGTTGGTTACATGCATAGTCTTTGTCATGACTTGCCATTGACCCAGAGTAAGTGGCTGGTCCTTTGGGATTGGGAGTAACCTAAATATTACTGTGATGGACCATCTATCACAAAAAGTACGCTCACCTTGGTGGTGAGATAGATCGGAGTACCCAAAGGGACTGTCTGTGACTCCATGTTAAGGTAGTTGGAGTGCCTCAGGAATTTACATTTGTTAATTGGTTGGTGAAATCTAAGTATAGTGCTCACAACCAATTTGGGGTTTCTGCCCTGGTTCCTAACAGTCTGCCCTGTGGTTAGTTCTCACGCTCTTGGCAGCATTACATGGTTTGGCAGCATTACGTGGTTTGTGGAGTAACTTTCAAAAAATGATTTCTGTTTACTCTTCTTCTAAAAATTGTAGTGTGTATCATACAAATAACCTAAATGCATAAATACTAACACGTTTTTAAAGTAATACTGCACTGCATGCTCCAGAAATCCTCTTATACAAAACGCACAATGTACATCTTTCTTCCAATCTTTTGTGTAGCTGGGAAAGAAAGAAAAAGGGTTTCCAACATGTAATAATTAAGGCAGAGTATCTAGCTACATATTAACATGCTATATATAGTTATATAGGTATAAAACTTGTTCCTTTTTAAAGAATTTATCTTACAGCTTTCTTTAGAATATCCTGTTGTTTTGAAAATGACATTTTTCTTTGTTGACTTTTATCCTTCCCAGTTCATCACCCAATTTTCACTTGAAGTCAGTATGATTGCTTTGAAAATTAATAGATAAAATCTCTGTGTTCTGGACAGTTGTTGGGAATGGGTGTATCTTTCTAAATAGTACTTTAGTTCACGGCATTCTGAAAATATTTATCCTGTGATTTTGCATTTATAGGGTGAATATTGTTTATCGTGGATTATAAGCCAACAGTGGTGATGTAAAAGCCATTCTGTGGGGTCCATGTACAAACAGTTTTTTATGTGCTTGTCCCTGAGCTCAGCCCTCTTATTGATGCTGCAGCAACAGTCGTGTTGGGAAACAGGGAAATGAGTGTTTGCTAAATAGAAAAAGGCAAGCACATTTTTACCTAAATAACTTTGTAACTGCAAGTAATGCTGACTATTTGATAGACGAGCCCAGCACAAATGTATAGTAGGCCAGACTGAAGTTTTGATTAGGTATGATGAATTGTGTGCTGAGTGCCTCTTACAATATCTTTATATAGTGCCTACCATATCTCAGTTGGGTCCTGAAGGTACTCTCATAATAGAAATAATAATAATAATAAATAATTGAAGCTATGAAATTTGTGTCTCTGAGGTGCGACTACACTGAAACAGAAACAAAACTGATCAGGTTGAACATTCTTTGTAATCAACGGCCTGGCCTATTGATTTATAAACTAAAGCCCCAATCCTGCAAAGGGATCTGCAGGGATTGATTCTTATGCCAGTAGAGAGTCCCACTGAAGTCAGTAAGTTTCCACCACCCATGGACCCCTTTTCAAGACTGTGTCCTTATATTGAAAAGCTAGTAGGCATTGTGTTATCTCATATACTCCAATTAAGGTGCTCTGTGTGTACATATACTTTTTTTCTTCCAAAATAGAGTTTTATACAACTTCATGACTAGTGCATAGATTTAAAAATGTCAGTAAAGAAACATAAGAAATAAACATATTCTTGGTGAACTGACACTTTATTTTGCAAAAACAAAGATAATTGTTTTTTGTTCTGTTTTTTTCTTATGTTTCCTTTGTATGTTGTTGATCTGTTTATAGTTTCAGTAAACAATTTGAACCTAAGAAAAGGCTATAGAAGGAAATTCTTACGTTCAAGTATGAGAGGGTATTAGAAGCAACACATTTTAAAAGGAAATAATGATCTTTTTTTAAATTTAAAAGTAATGCAGGTTTGTTTTAGAACAAATACTTTTTTGTTTTTGTTTTTTCTTTAGAATGTTTCTTGCATGTTTTATAATTAGTTTGTTTTATGTTTAATTTCAGCTGTTCCACTCGATTCAGAGAACATGTATGGAGTTGCTTAAAGCAATTGAACTCTATCAAAAAAGAATTTGTTGTAAGTATAACTAACTACAGCAGTTAAGCAGGGAGCTGAGTCTGCAATGTGGAAGTAACTAATATGTGACAAAGTGAAGATGATCATGGGAGAAATGCTACTCTCTTCATCCTAGTTAAATTTGAAGCTAACCCTTCCATTATAAACCCAGTTTTGAAACTAACCTCCTAATTTGGCCAAAGTTCCTTCAATTCTTCTGAAATTGTACATTGTGTGATACTAGGCCAGGATAGACAGGAGTACATATAGGAGATAGGAAAGCATTCAAGAAACAAGGCCTAACTACTTGACTTACCCAAATTTAGAAGTGGCTTATGTTAGAAACTCCAAATTTGGTTTTCTTGGTGAGGAGTGTGTCTTTTGAGGGATAGATGTGAATTTAGTGTGAATTAGGAGCAATGGAGGTTTTAACACAACACAGCCATGACACTGAATTGATAGTCAAACTGGCCTTGACATGTGGACAGCCACAATGAGTGGCAGATCAGAGAACCACATGTGTGGGAGGGTGGGTTATGGTCTGAGGCAGAAAATAAGCTAAGGGGGGAGCCACATTGGTGGTGGTGGTGGGTGGGGGGGGGCTGGTTCTATTCTGTAGAGTGTTGTAGGTACTTTCCCATCCCACTCCCCACCTCCACCTGCCCCCCAAGAAAAAAAGCCCATGAAAAGTCTCAAGATGTAGAGGAAAAGTGTGATTACACAATAGTATAATATATCCGAGTTAGTGTTCCATGGTAGCAGTGATGACCCAAGTGAAGTCTTATGTGTGACGATTATATAGGGAGGAATATACTCGATTAGAATGCAGTGTGGTCATAGAGTGGATTTGGCTAACAAGGGGCCCTTGCTGACATCTAGAAATATAATTTGTATAACAATATTTCAATTACAGTAATGACTATCTCTCTTCCTTCACGTGTCACTTGTTTTACTCTGCATGACTGACATGCGGATGGCCAAGAGGCTGATAGACAGGGAGCTATGTGTGGAGAGTTCTAATCTGGGGCGGGGGGTAGGAAAAAGTGCTTGCTGCAGGGGACAGCTTGTCTGGAGGAGGTCCATGAGGTGAAAATGGCTGTGACCTTCTGGCATCGCAGAGATCTGGTTTAAGGTGACAACCAATTGTAGTTTACTTACTTCCACTCCAGAAGTATCCAGCATGTAACACTCCCACTTCCAATCCCCCAGAAAATTCAACAAGAGAGACCTTTAAACTATGCAGCTTTTGAAATACAGTAGAATCATAAAGTGAGCAGACCATCCAGCAATTAACTTAAAAAGAAAATCACACATTTATCCTGAAGAATTAAATCTCCAACTAAATAATACAATAATAGAAAAGGGGAGAGAGATTTTAAGGGGCCAGCTGGTGTAAATCAACATTGGCTTCAATAGAGCTATGCTATTTTATATCAACTGAGGATCTGGCTCCATGAGTGGTGTGTTTTTTTGTTTTGTTTTTTAGATCAAGGGAAATAATATTGTCAGGTCACAGTAGGCTCCTTCATATGATCTCACCACGGTAATATCTTTATTCAAGCAATAAATAGCACATTCGCTTTTTGCCTTTCAGCCCAGAGATCATTTTGCGGTTCTTATTACACTACACCAAACTCACTGACAGGTGTGTTCAAGTGAATCTGAGCTTTTGTTTCATAAATCCAGGAACTGCATGAAGGTTAATTAGAAAAAACTTTTTTTGTGCTGTGCTGCTTGGATCTGAAGTGACTTGTGAGCCTATTTTTGCTGTTCACATTTTTAAACAGTTAAAATCTATTACATTGCATATATATGACCATTCATTCCTTTTTCATTAGTTTTGTCTCAGGAAGAAAATGAATTGGGGAAATTTCTTCGATCACAGGGTTCTCAGGATAAAACCAGAGCAGGAAAAATGATGCAGGCCACAGGAAAGGCCCTCTGCTTTTCTTCTCAGCAAAGGTATGTCAGCTTCAGCGTGTAAGGGAAATGTTACTCCATGGCTTCATTCATGTTGGACCAAATTCTGTGCGCTGACATTTTTTCAGTGTCCTCAATGACTGGCTTGAAATACTCCATTTTGAGCTGAACAATGTGGCTGCTTGTCTCAAAATGAAGCATCACATGCTGAACATGGGAGGTTGATATGTTCATCTTAGGTTGTAATTTGACTGTTAGCACAGCTAGTAACAGCCACAGGTGGGATCTTCAAAAGCATATAAGTCTCTTAGGAGCACAGATCCCACTGACTATGCTCCTAAGTAGCCTAGATATTTTTGAAAATCCCTCTCTTTAGCTAATTATCTGGCATGCATCCAATTATACAAACCCTTGCATGTGGCAAACTAGGTTCTTTTAGAATGCCAGTAAATGTGCCTTAGCCTCTCACCAAAGCCCCAGTGCCCCATAAGTAATCCTGTATCATATGAAAACTTTTTTATATATATATAAATATTCAGAGCCAGAATCAACATTTTGGTCTTTTTTTAGCCAGCATAAAGAGAGCACCACATACGTCCTTCCCTGGCCCAGACGGCCAGTTCTCCCCTCCACCTCTGTGACCCACCCTCCTCATAACAAGTCACTACTGCACTTTATTGTGTCATCAGCCTCTGGCCATCTCAGTAACGGAAGATCAGCCAGATGTAGTAGCTCCCTGGCTGTGCCAGCCCTACACTAACTAGACATTCCCCTATGCCAGGGAAATCCCCAGATAGCTACTTAAACCAGCTTTAAAATCTGCTTTATGCCACTAATAGGCTGTTGAATGTGTCTCGGTGAAGCTGCTGCTAGCTACAGGCAGGGGAAAGCAGCAGCTGGAGGTAGGAAGGGCAAGTTAGTAGTGGGTAGAATTTTTTGAGAGCCTGTTAAGGGGAGGAAGTGGGTGTGAGTGGGGGAGCTGATCTCCCCATCTGCATCTCCATAATGCTGGGTCTGAGAGTATGGCAGAAAATGCCTTAAAACTTCATAAAAATAAACAGAATTATTCAAATTCCTTTGAAAACTCAGATAATTTATCTGCTTGACTGATGACTTCAGTGTTACCTGCTCATAGCAGGGCTACATTCTTAACCCTACCATTAACCTAATGTGCAGTTTAACATTACAATCCTGTATATCTGCGGTATGTGACTAGTAACAGGTGCTTTATCAAAGGTTTTGTGATTGTTAAATGTAATTCCCATTTGCTAATTTCACTTGTCTAAACCTTTTAATTGACGCACACACATACACTGATAAATTTTGCAGTGAATACACTGAAAAAGATTCCTCTGTTACTGATTTGAGAAGCTGAAAGTAATTGTGAAAATCATGACACCTATGCAGAAAGCATGCACAACATAGACGTAAAGATATCCTCGTCACTTATGACCGTAAATGAGTCTTTGGACAATCTCACATGTTGTAGTCATTTCAGTGAATTTCTTTTAGACTGACATGTCCATTTCATACTTTTTAGAAATGGCTCAGGGTTGTTTATATTTGTTTGATTGCTTATTTTTTTTAAGAAACGACGATTATCTTTATGGATCAGTTCAAAATATATGTTTTTGGGTTGTTTTTTTAAAGGTTGGCATTACGTACTCCTTTGTGCAGACTATACCAAGAAGTGGAGACTTTTAGATATAGGGCTATATCAGATACATGGCTGACTGTAAACCGAATGGAACAGTATCGGACTGAATACCGAGGAGCACTACTTTGGATGAAAGATGTCTCTCAAGAGCTGGATCCGGATCTTTACAAGCAGATGGAGAAGTTTAGGAAGGTATGATGTTTCCTGTGGTTTGCTGGAGGGGGAAGCATGATAAATGGTAGTGAAGCATGATTTTGATTCCTGTGAGGAAGACATTCAACAGCACTGAGGATGCAATTAATCAAAACTGATCTTTTCCATGTGACAGAATACCCATTAATTTGATATGGAATATTATATCTTTCACAGATGATGAGGCTAAGGGGGAGAGAAAGTGGCAAGAAATCACAGTTCTTAACTACCTGGTTCTGATTAGAATACATTTTTGTATTTTATATAATATATATTTTAAAATGTTTAACTGAGGGGAAACACCTGAATGATTGATTAAGAGAAGGAGATACGTCTGCACTCAACAGGGGTGGAGAAGATTGATGATGCTACTAGAAAGTACGAAAATTCTGTATAGACTAATAGAAATACCATAATATTTGTTGCTGAGTTGAACTGTTTGGGCTTGGTTAAAGGCCAAAATTTTCAAAAGTGACTAGTGATTTCTTTAGGTGTCTCTTTTTTTTTTTTCAGTACTCAATTTGGGAAACCTCAAAGAGGATTGATTTTTCAGAAAGTGCTCAGCACTCAACCTCCAAAAATCAGGCCATTTTAAGGTATTTCAAGGTTGGCACCCAAAAACTAAGATACTCCATCACTATTCACTCTCGAAAAGCTTAGCCCAAAGATACCACACCTCAGGGTAGCAACGTAGGAGTTACTTAGGCTATGTCAGCATTTCTGAGCCTAGTGTAGACTGAGGCCCAGATTTTTAAAGGTATTTAGACATTGCTCTGTTCAGTGTTGCAATGCCTAAGTCTTATTTTCAAAAGGGATTCAGGCACTGAGGAGCCTAAATCCCATTAACAGTCACCACTGTGTGCAGCAGCAGCTAAATACCTTTAAAAATCTGGGCCTCAGTGTATGCATATAGAAATTCTTCAGTCAGTGTAGAAACACCACCCTTCAGAACGATGTTAGCTGTGCCAACAAAAGCACTCTTCTGTTGGCATAGCTGCACCTACACTGGGGGTTTTGTTGGCATAGCTGTGTCAGTCAGGGATGGGTTTTTTTTCTTTTTCACGCAGCTGACCAACATAGCTATGCCAATATAAGTTTTAAGTGTAGACCATACTGATCTCCTTTGGCTCCAGTTCATTCTTAGGAGGCCTTTACAGTCGTAGCTATAGGACTAGTGGCTGTTCTCCTTACAGAATGTAGTAGAACTAGTAGTATGCTTGCTGTTGTGAATCTGGATTGGAGTGAGGGGGCAGAATCCTGGATCGCAGGCAAAGACCTACACTCTCAATAAATACATTTATAATGTTAACAGAAATGGCATAATATTGTAGGTCATTGGCTTGAGATCTAGAAGTTACTTTGGTACATATCTGCCCTAAAGAAAGTTGTTGTGTGAAAGAGAACTTGCTCTCCTTGAAGCCTTAAATGAACTGTCTGTTTCCTTTAACTGGAAATATTTTGAGATGAAGTAAATGTTTTCATATGATTATACTGCACAATATATTTTGTTTTGTTTGGGGGGGAAGGGGTTAAAACTTGAATCGAACACTGATAGGAAAAAATTGGCATGTCTAGTTCATATTAATATTTGTGAATGCAAGCTGTGACAATAGCAGTGGGGTGGGAGGGATAAAATTCCCAAATCTTGACATAATTTTTCTTTAATGCGTCAGTACAGGATATGCCTGCAAATCTCAGGGCACCCAACTTGTATTTTATTGTGCCTGTTGGGAAATTTTTATAATGGCAGGTTCTTGCAGGCAAAATAATCAGTCTGGTCCCAGCCTCGGCCAGTTGCTTATGTATAACAATTGATTTAGTGGAAATGCACTATAAAAGGAATGTTTGAATAAAGAATTGAAAATAGTATTGGTAATGGTCATTCAAACCTGATTTATGCTCTTCTTGTCAACAAGTGATGTGGAAGATCTACATTATCAAAAAGATAGAGTAGTTAAGATAATGAGGGTTTTTATGGGAAACTAGTTAAAATCTTGTCCATGAAATTTAAGTCTTCTCAGGATGCTATGCCTCAGAGTTGGCAATGAAGATTTCTAAAAGTTGCTATGAATGTTTTGTCTTAAAGCTTTTAGGAGCTTTTGCATCCTGTTTACAATACCGCCCCTGGGAGCCAAGTATTTTGAAACCTGTATAATTCTGTAAGCAGTTTTGTCTGTTGCAGTTACATCAAGTTAGTTTATTTCTTTAACTGTTTACCAAAGTTCTATTAGGCTAAAATCTCTAATTTCTCCCTGTCCCTTCCATCCCCAGCTATTATTTAACATTAAACTTTTCAGACCACATTGGAATGCCAAGTACAAAAAGCTCTACATTTTATAGCCAACAAAATATATGTATCCTATTTTTGGATAAAGCAATGCCTGTGATATTGACTACCTCTATAGTTCCCCCTCACACTGAACAACTGCTGCTGCTTCTTCGAGTGATTGTTCATGTCCATTCCAAGCAGGTGTGTGCACACCAGCCGGAAGATTTTACTATAGCAGCGTCCGTAGGGTCAGCTTTGGCACCCCCTGGAGTGGCGCCTTCATGGCGCTGTATATAGGGGCCAGCCGACCCCCCACCCCCTCAGTTTCTTCTTACTGCCGGTGATGGCTAGCTGGAACTTCGTTTGCTCTTCAGCAATCGTAGCAGTGTTCCGTCGTTGTTGTAAATAGTTAGTTAGTTTGTTGTTTAGTGCTAGCTTAGTTAGTAATTAGTTGGGGGGTTTTCCCCAAGTTTTCGTTGCCCCGCCGGGGCATTCCCGGGTCCCTAGGGTTCCCCATCGCCAGTGCCTTTTAAAAGGAACAGGTGGGTGAGGGATTGTTCTCCACACTGGGACTCTAAAGCGTCGGCGCCGTCCACGTCTACTACAGGACAATTCGCGCCGCAGACCCATCTGGCCATTCCGTTGACTCCCGCCCCGGAGAGGGTACGGTCGAGTCCGGAAAAGCCTAGATCCCCGGACATAATGGAGGAAGCGTGCCTGGAGGCGTTCGAGGTCGCCTCAGACCTCTTGAGCCTCCTGGTGCCAGCGTAGCCGCACCGGTGCAGAGAACCTCCGGCTACCGCTCGGGCCCATTATCAATCTAGGGGCAAACCGGCAATGCTCTCGCCGCACTCCCCGCGCCGCGCCACTCTAGCAGACAGTGCAGACAGCACCCTCTACGGCAACAGTGGGTACTGCGTCCTCCTATGTCCTCCTACTCAGAAATTTCAGACTCAGAGGCGGACTCGTACTGCTCTAACAGATCAAGAAATAGGCGATTGTCCTCACGTACAAGTGCCCAACCATACCCACCGCAGTGGCAGCAGCAGCAGTGGCAACCGCCCCCCCAGTGGCTATTCTGGACGTCCTGGGCCTACCACCAGTCAGTGGGTCAGGTGTACGGACCCCGCTCACGAGCCGCATCTGTCTCTTCAACATCAGCGGTACCGCCGCTAATGCCGCCGCCACCACCACCGGCACCGCCGTCTGACAGGAGTGTGCCACAAAGGGACCCGGCACTGCCTAGCCAAACCATGGCACCGACGGGGACCTTGCTCCCAACACCGCGGGCACTGTCCAGCACGCCTTGTCGCTCGGTGTCGACCCCGGTACCGGCCGCGGTGCCGCATCCCGAGTCTGCACCGGCCGCGCAGCCTGAGTACCATGTGCTGCAGCCCCTCGTAGAGGGAGAGGGGGTAGATGAAGGCCCCCTTCAAGGGATCTCTTCCTCCTCATCTCTGGATGAGGCAGTAGCGGGAACTTCAGTGGCACCGGCCCCAGAGGACAATAGGATCCTCCAACAACTGCTTACTCGAGCAGCCCAAAGCCTCTCAATCCAGACTGAGGAGATGGAGGTGGACACGGATCCAGTGATTGATATCCTGACCCCGTCAGGCCCATCCAGGGTAGCCCTACCTCTCATAGAAACCATTACGGACACAACCTGCACCTTGTGGCAAACCCCTGCCTCATTGGCCCCTACGGCCAAAGGACTGAGAGGCGATATTTCGTTCCAACCAAGGGCTATGAACATCTTTATACACACCCTCCCCTGGACTCCCTAGTGGTTGATGCGGCCAACCAGAGGGAACGCCAAGGTTTTCAGGGGGCTACGCCTAAAAATAGAGAGGCCAAAAAGTTGGACCTGTTCGGGCGCAAGGTGTATTCAACGGGGGGCCTGCAGTTGTGCATTGCCAATCAGCCTGCCATAGTGAGCCGGTATGGACACAACACTTGCTCGGCTTTGTCTAGGTTCACGGACCTCCTTCTGCAGGAGTCGCGAACTGAGTTTTCAGCCCTGGTTGAGGAGGGGAGATTGATTACCCGGGCTTCCCTCCAGGCAGCCCTGGACGCAGCCGATTCAGCTTCACGCATGTTGGTGACTGGTCTGGTCATGAGGCATGAAGCCTGGCTTCAAGTTTCCGGCCTCCCTCACGAGGTCCAACGAAAGATCCAGGACCTCCCCTTCGAAGGGCCCACGCTCTTCTCGGAGAAGACTGATAAGAGGCTTCATAGCCTACAGGACTCACGGACCACTCTCCATTCACTAGGCCTACACACCCGTCACTCAGCGTTGGCAGTTTAGGCCACCGCAGGCCCCTCGGCCGTATCAGCCTCAAAATCGAAGGGATGCCTTGCGCAGAAGGCCAAGGACGGGCAGGAGGAGGCAACAACAGCAGCCCTTCGGCCAGTCATCGGCCCAACCAAGGCCTACACAGGGGCCTAGACAACCATTTTGATGGCTTGGTCGAGGACGACCTCCCAGTCAGAACCCTGGATCCGTCCAACCTTACCTTCTGATCACGTCTGTCCCCCTTTTATCGTGCATGGGCCCGGATCACGTCAGATGCTTGAGTGCTTCGCACGGTAAAGGAGGGATATTCTATCCAGTTCTCCTCCCTCCCGCCCCACCAGCCCCCCTCCCTGTCCCTCTTCAAGGACCCCTCTCACGAGCAACTTCTACTTCAAGAAGTTCAGTCCCTCCTCACATCAGGAGCAGTAGAGGAGGTTC